TCGACGTCACAATCTGAATTTCAAAACGTACAGACGCAAATAATTCATAAATAAGACGATCGCATTCCGCCGGTAGAAATGGATCCTGTGCTTATAAACAGAACACAGGACACAGTTTGTTAACAGAGAAACACCTCTACAGTGGTGATTACTGTGTCTTTATTAGTTATTAGTATTATTAGTTACTATTATTAAGTACAGTGATCATGTGAACAGACACAAACTTCTCAAAAGTCTCTCCAGCTGTTAAAGCCGACTGACAGCTGTGATCAGCTGTCAGTCGTCGCTTCACGTGACGCAACTGAGGAAAGGACGTCCCATGTCTCTTAAAAGATATTTCCTCGTTCCTCTCTCCTCGCATGGTTTGCTCCATGCATCCCTGGTGGGAGGGACTAAGACACAAGGAAAGGACCCAAGTGAGGGAAACGGGGATGCAATTAAAAGACTTGGGATGTACCCTTAGAAGCACTTTTGCTTTCAAAATAAAAGCGAAGGATTTGTCACCTTTAATACTGGCAAAGAGGCTGGTACACACACAGAGGGTACACATTATCAAATTCAAACAACATATTTTGAAACTTCGGAATTATCAGACTAAACAAAATTGAATTTATAAAATAGTTGCCATACTTTGACATCTCTATTTTTAATTAGATTTGGCAAAACTGTTCATTGTAGCAGTACTGCATGGAATTGCATCATATTTGAACATAGGTGTAAATGAGACAGTATACAGGAAAGCATCATTAATAAAAAACAAATCATGATATATGCTCATTATTGTCACTCTGCGCATCAGTATAAAAATAACGGGTTATGCGGATATTATTTTGAAAATCCTCACCGGATGTTTTAATGTCATTCAGGATGTCTTGTCTCTTATAGACCACCAGCAATGGATAACATTAAGCTAGGAGCTAATCTATAATGTTATTCAAAGGCCAGACACATCGCTTACGGAAACGTGCGAGGAGGTGGGGAACATCTACCCAGACCCGTAAACATTCTGCGGTATAACGGAGTCCATTTCGTCAGTTGAGCGGTAACCGGAAGCTACATTTCATCCCATCTTTTATGTGTTAGCATCTCATCCTCTATGCAAATTAGCCTTAATGACAGTGTCTAAACTGAATGCAAATGAAGCCGAAATTGTCCCTAAATATGCAATCAAATTTCCCGAATTACTAATTCGGGATTAACTATAAAGCTTCTCACTTGTTCAGTGTTGTACCTGATTTTTGGGATGTTTCTCTTACAGGCTCGTCAAATGACAGAACAAGTCTTCACGCATATACTTTGTGAAATAGGTGTGTCGGACTTGTTTACCTTGGGATTAGGTTTTGTTGTCAGAGTAAATACACATCTACTCACAATTTGGAAGCAGCAGCAGCAGCAGAAGGAGGAGGAGGAGGAGGAGGACAGATCCTGCAGCTGCGTTGCAGGTCCTGTCATAGCGCCATGGCCACTGCGCGGTTCCCCGGGAAGAGTGTGGACGTGGCGGCTAACTGGACGGCCCCGGGGCTGGGCCGGCCGGTGTGCGTCAACGGGACGCCGTGGATCCTCTACCTGTTGGAGGAGTGCGTGGACAATGTGTGGGAGTACTGCAGCGTGGTGATAGGTCTCATATCCATGTTCTGCTTTCTGCTGTCCACTCTGCCGTAAGTAACCTTGGCACAACGACTGTGATGTTAAACTAAATTATTTAAAGTGTTACTTTTTTTTGAAGTGCAACCCAGTAATCTGGTTGAAAGTGCTTCTGATTTATTTTATCCTATCTATTTATCCATCTCTCTATCCATCCATCCATCCATCCATCCATCTATCTATCTTTGATCTGTCCATCCATCCATCTATAGGCAGGTCTACGAGGCCTATCGGAATGGTAAAGTGGAAGAGGCCATGTCCTTCGGCTTTCTTTTCTTCCTCTTCAGTGGAGATGTGACCAGCTTTGCAGGCTGCTACCTCACCAGCCAGCTCCCTATTCAGGTAAACACGAACATGGCCACTCATCCTCGGTGTGTATGTGTCTGTGCTGTGAACTCCATCCACCCTGGTGTCGTTAGTCCCTGGCAGACCTCAGTTGTAGTCATATTTAATTCCCTTTCTTGTCCCTGAAGCCGGTGAGTTATCACATCTCAGACGAGCTGTGTTCAGGCCTTCGTTTTGCTGCAGGTGTTTGAACACATCTGTATTTGTTTTGCTAATGCTGCGCTTGAAACTGTCAGAAGAACTAAAAACCATATAGTGCTATACCTTTTACCATTTTGTCTGCATCTTTATATGGAAAAACATTTCAAAGGCACAATGTTTCTGGGGTTTTGAACCAACTATTTATTTTTCACCATGTCTCTCTCTCAGGTAGTCACTGTGGTCTTCTACATCTTCACTGACCTGATTCTCATCTCCCAGTTCCTCTACTATAAGATCAAGAACAGCTCCAGCAGAAGTAAGCCCTGACATTGAGTTAAAAGTCAGGAAGTATTTCCTGCTGTTCACTCAATACACTTTGAATTTGCATTGCATGACAGCCAGACACCTGCTAACTCCAGAGATGACGGATACCGTTCCGAGTGTTACTTACTTATGATGAGTTCTTACCATGGAAGCCAAAAGCACATGACTGCCTCATGACTCATGCTGAGACTGCACACAGCCCTATATGCATATTAGTTTTGTTTTATGCAGCTACTGTGTACTTGTTATGCCGGTAATACAGCAGAAATTGAAATGACTCATCTGTTGCACTTGTCCAGTGTTACACAATCGGTATAGACACTATCGGAGTGTTAGCTCATGTTGGTGGGGGGGGGTATTTGCGTGTCTTCACTGTCCGTTCTTTGTGTTGTGTGAGTGCTCTAGAAAGCCCTGTGTTGAAGTGGCTGTGCTTCATGTGGTGTGGCGCTGCTACGTTAGTTCTTCTGGCTTTACCCAAACTCATCGTAGACAATAGTGCAACTTTAGACACCCAGGTAGGTCGATTTTGTGTGTGTGTGTGTGTGTGTGTGTGTGTGTGTGTGTGTGTGTGTGTGTGTGTGTGTGTGTGTGTTTGTGTAGGATTTTAGAATACGGTGCTTGTAAATCAAATTTGGGTCGCTTTTGTCCAGATTTTTTCAGGTTGATTGGACACATTAATTCACTTTTGACTAGAGATTGTGGTCGTACTGTTTCTTGCGTACATTTTTCCCCCTTTCACCTCTCTCTCCCGTCTCTCTGTGTCCTCGTCCTTTGCCAGAGTGCATCTACCTCAAGATCGGTGGAAATCACTGGCTATGTATGTGGATACCTGGCATCGATATTCTACCTCAGCTCCCGTTTCCCCCAGCTCTATAAAAATGTAAGTGGCAATTTGTTGGATGTGATTTCAGTTGCAAAGAAAAGTTTGTTTGGTTCGCATGCGAGCAGTCGCCCTCCTGACGGGAGATCTTGGAAAGCTTTCTCAGGTAAAACTGAACTTATTATGTGTCAGTTAGTTATTAACAGGGACTGTGAGTGTGTTTTGAAGAGGGAGGTTGAATAACATTATTTGTGTCAAAATAAGAACCAGACTTCAGAGACAATGGCGCTGTTGTGTTTGAGAAGCGTCCTGGCTCGTCTGCAGATATTAAGCACCAGAGGGGATCGTCTCAGTGTGCTGCTGGTGCCAGAGAAACTTCATGGCAAACACGCACACGCACACGCACACTTACCCCGACTGTTGTAAATCATTTAAGAAGCATTTTCCCTGCAGAGATTCCCACAAGTTGAAACGTGCTTGTTTTTTCAGGAGGAAGCCCAAAACTTTTTCTCAATATCGTTCCTAGTGGCAATATATATATATATATATATATATATATAAATAAGTTATTTTAGATTACCTTTAGTACTACTCTGGCAAACACTAGCTGGTTGTCTGGTATTGTTTGGGTCCAGCTCATGTAATAATCAACCGGTTACTAACATTGTTCAGTCAACGTTAAAATGGTTAATATGTTTCTTTGGTTTGGCAATATTGGACGGATGCTCTCAGGAGTGACCGAACTCACATCCTTCCTGCTGTTTGTGCTGAACGACACTGTTGTTAGTTACTATGTTTAGAATAAAGTAGAAATCTGTGTGATCTCTTCTTTTCTGTGTCCAGAGCCATGCAACAGACAACACCATATTTGTTGATTTAAAAAAAAAAGATAAAATGACAACATTCTTGTTACGGTCGTCTGTATCTGTTTGGAGCACAAGTACACAGAAAGTAAATCCCTTGTTGTGAGTGAAACACCTGGCTTGTGTTAAACCTGTAGGACCAGATCTTTTCCTTTTTCTCTGACTGTGTGTGTGTTTGTTTTTGTGACATATGTACGCTAAGGGAATGATAGCTACAAGTCCTGCTGTTCGGGTCCATCAACGAAACACTGTAATCTCTATTTGTTCTAGTTCCAGCGACAGTCCACGGAGGGCACCTCTTACATGTTGTTCGCCCTGGCCATGATGGGCAATGGGACGTACGGGTTCAGCGTCATCGTGGTCCTGCCTGCGCTGAAGGGCTCCAAACAGACCTTCATCATCAAACATCTGGCCTGGCTCATCGGCAGCCTGGGAGTCCTCATACTTGACTTCTTTGTATCCTTCAAATCACAAGTTCAGCCACGAGATGACTCAAATCTGTCTCATCTTCTGATAATACCTGCAACGGAAAACTGGAATCGGTTATTACGCTAAATTTGTCGAAGAGAAGCTAATACTGCTCAACTCTTTTATGTTTCTGTTTGAGCCTTAACCCAGTCAGGTGACCGCCCAGTTCATCATGTACAGGAAGAACTACGCGGCTAAAAGCAGCAAACTTCTCAGCGTCCCAGAGGTGGAGCCTCTGCTGTGTGAGGAAGTGGAACTGTCCGTGTTATAGGACACCAGCAAGTTCCACGCAGTCAAGAAGGAACTGCTCAGTCTACGATTTGTGTTAGATCATTCTGTGGTGATTGATTTAATCACAACAACTTCAGAGAACGGAGACCTTGCAGACGCATTGT